AGAGAGAGACACAGACAGAGACACACACACACACACAGAGAGAGATGGAGAGTCAGAGGCAGGAACAGGAGATGGTAAGCTCACTAAACAGCAGCAATTAGCCTTCACCCAGAGGGACTGAGAGACCCCCTGCCCCACCTCGGTAATCTGTCCCAGACAACCCCCCTGCTTAGATGTGGTTGAGAAGGCACAGCAAGGCCTCCACTCCCTCAGGAGGCTATCAAGATTCGGTACGTCCACAAGGACAAAATTTTATACAGCTGCACCACAGAAAGCATTCTATCTGGATGTGTCGCAGTTTGGTACAGACAGTAGGAAACTACAGAGGCTGGCAAGCACAGCCCAGTCCACCCTCGCCGCTTCCTCAGAGCGAGTCAATACCTTCACAGAGCCCCACCTTCGCAGGTTATAATCTCTTCCAACCATCAGGCACAAGATCCAGAAGCTTAAAAACACACAGACCCACAAATTCAGCTTCTTCCCTGTTGTTATTAGGATGCTGATCGGACCTCTCTAACTTCAAATTCGGTCGATCCTGCTCTGCGCAGCGTAACCCTGTCTGTAACCCCGCGCTGTCTGTCCTCGTTTGCTACCCTGTGCTGCTCGTAAAACAAAACAAAACTTTTTACTGTAATCAGGCACACGCGATTGCAACACATCGAAATCGAATCACTGACTCTCGCCCGCAGGGACTGGTTCTAAACCTCCCTCCTGTCTCCCCTCGCAAGCTCGAGTCGGAGAACCTTACATTGGTTGAGTAACCGAGCAGCGTGGCCGTCGAATGAATCCAGAAAGGAGCTGAGCAGGTACAGGCCCGTGGCCAGCTTTGGGCTACTTGGCATAAAGTAAAAAGCAGCGAGGGCCAGGAAGATGCGGCTGTAACCTACAACACAGAGAGATAGAGAAAGTGTCAAAGGGAGGGAGATGTCACTAACAACAGCATCAAGCTGGTGACAGCACAGAAACTAGGAACAGGAGAAGGCCGTTCAGCCCTTCAAGCCTGCTCCGTTGTTCTAAACGATTCCATAGAGTCATACGCCACGGGATTTCAGCCCGACCTGTCTGTGCTGACCCAGATATCCTAAATTAATCCAGTCCCATTTGCCAGCATTTAGCCCATATCCCCTCCTATCCACATCCCCATCCAGATGCCTTTTAAATGTTGTAATTGTACCAGCCTCCACCACTTCGTCTGGCAGCTCGTTCCACACACGCACCGCCCTCTGTGTGAAAAAGGGTCCCTTTTAAATCTCTCCCCCTCTCACCTCAAACCTATGCCCCTCTAGTTTTAGACTCCCCCGTACCCTGGGGAAAAGCTATTCACCCTATCCCTGCCACCTCATGATTTTATAAACCTCTATAAGGTCACCCCCTCAGCCTCCGATGCTCCGGGGAAAACAGCCCCCCAGCCTCTCCCTGTAGCTCAAACCCTCCAACGTCCTTTTAAATCTTTTCTGAACCCTTTTAAGTTTCATAACATCCTTTCTACAGCAGGGAGACCGGGATTGAACGCAGTATTCCATAAGTGGCCTCACCCATACAGCCGCAACATGACCCTCCCAACTCCTACGCTCAATACACTGACCAATAAAGGCAAGCGTATCTAACACCTTCTTCACTGCCCTGTCTACCTGCGACCCCACTTTCAAGGAACTATGTACCTGCACCCCAAGGGTGCTCTGTTCAGTAACTCTCCCCAGAACCTTACCATTAAGGGTACAAGTCTCTCCTTTCCAAAACGCAGCACCTCACATTTATCTAAATTAAACTCTATCTGCCCCTCTCATCACTTCTTCCATGACCTGTCCATCTTCTCTCCCACCTATCTGCTCCTCCCACCTCACTGACCAATCCCCACCACTCCCTCCCTGCATTCACCTATCACCAGCCCACCAACCTTCCCCAGCCCCAGCCCTCCTCTCTCTATTTATTTCTGAACTCCATTCCCCTGTCCCACATTTCTGAAGAAGGATCCCAACTTGAAATGTCAGCTTTCCTGCTCCACCAACTCCACACTAGCTTTGTCCAATCCCTTTGCCAAATTAGTTTCCCCAGCATCATTTTAATCACAAAAAAAGGAATATCTTTATTCTGCCCTCTCACTAGAACTTGGTCTCCCTAACATTTCAGAACATTTGTAAGGACAGAACCAAAATCTGCAATCATTTCTCTGGTCCCCATTGTCATTTCCCCAGACTGTAAGGGACATAAACTTGTCTTCATTAATCTGTTTCACTTCCCCTATTTACAGAAGCTTTTACAGTCACTTTTTATGTTGTCTGCAATGTTACTCTCACACTCTGTTTTTCCTCTGTAGACCATTCATTGTACTCTTTAGCTGAATTCTAAACTACTCCCAGACCTCAAGCTAGTTAATGAATCCTTTTCATTGCACAGTAGCCAGTCCGGAACAGCCTGCTTTATGATTAGTCTTAAAAAAAAAACCCATCAGGTTCCAACTCCAGAAAATCCTTAAACCCACACCCCATCAAATTAGACCCAACCACTGAGTCAGCCCCATTATACCCAACTCCCAAGACTCCTACCACCTCCCAACCCCCTGCTATCCACATACACAGTACACTGACCAATGAGGTTGGGCACAAACAGGAAGACGCTGACCATGTTGGCGAGCTCTCTCAGTCTCAGCAGCGCTGTCAGAGAGAAACCTCAGTCCCTGTCACCGTCTTAGTGGGAGTCTCACAGAGAGTATGGAATGTCTCACTTCTACAAGGCTCAGCGTCTTGAGTTTCTGTCTCACTCTGTGTGAGGGTATCTCAATGACAAATCCCTGTGTGTGTGTGTGTCTATCTCTCTGTCTCTGCGTGAGTCCCTCTTCCTCTCAATGACAGAGTTCCTGTGTGTGTCTCTGAATGACAGACTCCCTGTGCGTGTGTCTAAGTCTCTAAAAGATAGAGTCCCTGTGTGTGTGTGTGTGTGTCTCTGTGAATCCCTGTCTCTGTCAATCCCTGTCTGTGTCTCTGTCTCTGTGAATCCCTGAGAATCCCTGTATGTGTCTGTGTCTCTGTCAATCCCTGTCTGTGTCTCTGTGAATCCCTGTATGTGTCTGTGTCTCTGTCCCTGTGAATCCCTGTATGTGTCTGTGTCTGTGTCTCTGTGAATCCCTGTCTGTGTCTGTGTCTCTGTGAATCCCTGTATGTGTCTGTGTCTCTGTCAATCCCTGTCTGTGTCTGTGTCTCTGTCAATCTCTGTGAATCCCTGTATGTGTCTGTGTCTCTGTGAATCCCTGTATGTGTCTGTGTCTGTGTCTCTGTGAATCCCTGTATGTGTCTGTGTCTCTGTGA